CCCACTTTCCCTAACTTCCGTGTTCTTCACGCCACCCGCTGCCTCCAACACCAGTATCTTCACCACCCAGCCCTGAAAACCACGACCCTTACCCTCTGCACTCAACCCCCATCACCATGCAGTATAGTTGTCCTGAAGTGCAGCACTCACTGCACAGCACACCAGACAGGACATACACAAATTGTGATTGTACTGTTCCCCACTCCACCCCCTTGTTTCTTTTCAATAAATGGATTTTTTGGCTTTGAAAACATTCTTTATTATTGCATAAAGTAAAAGACTCCTTAGCCCAGGAAATAAACAGCCACTGCAAGTCTGCTTAGCAAACACTGATTCCTAAAGATTGGAACTACTGCACTTCACTCCCGTGCAGGGCACCAGATATCACTGCTGGTTTTAAGCCTCAACTTGCTCTCTCAAGGCATCCTTAATCCTTGCAGCCCCACGCTGGGCCCCTGTAATAGCCCTGCTCTCTGGCTGTGCAAATTCAGCCTCCAGATGTTGAACCTCAGAGGTCCATGCCTGAGTGAAGCTTTCACCCTTCCCTTCACAAATATTATGGAGGGATCAGCACACGGATATAATCGTGGGGATGCTGTTTTCGGCTAAGTCCAGCTTCCCATACAGAGATCGCCAGCGGACCTTTAAACGGCCAAAGGCACACTCCACAGTCATTCGGCACCAGCTCAGCCTGTAATTGAACCGTTCCTTGCTGCTGTCAAGGCTCCCTGTATAGGGTTTCACGAGCCACGGCATTAACGGGTAAGCGGGATCTCCAAGGATCACAATGGGCATTTCAACTTCCCCTACCGTGATCTTCCGCTCCGGGGAAAAAAGTCCTGGCCTGCATCTTCCTGAACAGCCAAGTGTTCCGAAAGATGCGTGCATCATGCACCTTTCCGGGCCAGCCTGTGTTAATGTCAATGAATCGCCCACAGTGATCCACAGGCGCCTGGAGAACCATACAGAAATACCCCTTCCGATTAATGTACTTGGATCCTAGGTGGGGTGGTGCCAGAATAGGAATGTGTGTCCCATCTATCGCCCCTCCACAGTTAGGGAACCCCATTTGTGCAAAGCCATCCACTATTTCCTGCACGTTACCCAGAGTCACGGTTCTTCTGAGTAGGATGCGATTAATGGCCTTGCAAACTTGCATCAACATGATTCCAACGGTCGACTTTCCCACTCCAAACTTGTTTGTGACCGACCGGTAGCTGTCTGGAGTTGCCAGCTTCCAGATTGCAATAGCCACTCGCTTCTCCACTGGCAGAGCAGCTCTCAATCTCGTGTCCTTGCGCTGCAGGGTGGGGGCAAGCTCCTTACACAGTCCCATGAAAGTGGCTTTTCTCATCCGAAAGTTCTGCAGCCACTGCTCATCATCCCAGACTTCCATGACGATGTGATCCCACCACTTGGTGCTTGTTTCCCGAGCCCCAAAACGGCGTTCCACGGTGCTGAGCATGTCCGTGAATGCCACAAGCAATTTCGTGTCGTACGCATTACGTGGCTCGATAGCATCGTCGGACTCCTCACCCTCACTCTCACTGTCACTTTGGATCTTAAGGACTAGTTCGACAGCCAAACGTGACATGCTGGCGAGACTTGTCAGCATACGCCTCAGCAGTTCGGACTCCATTTCCCGCAGACAGATCGCGCTGCACAGAAACCGTTGAAAGAAAGCGCCAAAGGTGGATGGAAACAAAGGGATTACTGGGATGCGAAGCGATGCATCACGGGGCATTGGGACAGGACCCAGAATCCCCCGCACCCACACCCCCTTCCCACAACCCACGGCGCCGGAATGGGAAGAGGTGCTCTGTTGGACAGCTGCCCGTAATGCACCACTCCCAATAGCGCTGCAATTACCGCAAATGTGGCCACGACAGTGCGCTGGGCAGCTGTCAGTGTGGACAGACTGCAGCGCTTTCCCTACTCAGCTGCACGAAGTCAGGTTTAACTCACAGCGCTGTACATCTGCAAGTGTAGCCAAGGCCTACGTGACTTAAGGCTGGGAGTGAGCAGCAGGGACGGATGAACTCTTACAAAACAAATATAAAGTGTGTGTGTGCAAATATGCCTTACTATAAAGAATGTGGGAAGAGGAATAGCGAACATATGCTGGTACAAAATCTGCTAAACAACCCAAGTCTCTGTGCTCACATCACACTAGTAATCTGCTCTCTGCCTGGTTCCTGATTGAGAATTGCATGCTGTTAAATGTCTCTGCCCTTACATAACTAGAGCCAGTTCCATGGACAACTTATTTGATTGAGTCTTCTTCCATGACCATGTTGTTCCACATCATCTACGTTCCCCTAAAACAATAAAACTGTCACCCAGTACATGGAGACTTATAACAGAAGGAAAGAGAACTTTCACAATAGCTTTAACCAGACTATGGAACTTAGTCCCAAATGAAATAAGAATGACTGCAGACCTCACTATATTCAAAACACATCTCTTTGACTTGGTTTTCCTTAAATTTTTTGTTCTCTCTCTCTCTCTCCCTTTCCCCCCCCCCCCCCCCACCATACATACATGCCATACACCAGGCACACAACCTATAAGTTAATATTTCTCCAAAGGAAGGAATAAAAAGAAATTTTGTAGTGTAGACATGGGCTATGTTATGGGCTTTTGCTAGCACAGCTGTGGCAGTCAGAGATCACATCTCATCACACCCCTGACCGACATAGCCATGCTGCCAAAAGCCTGCAGTGCAGACCAGATCCAAGCATAATGGATGCAAATATTTCTATGTGAGTTTGCAGAAAGCCAGGAATGCTTTTGAGAGTGTGACCAGCCCCATTCATCTCAGTGAGGTTTTAACTCAGATCCCCATGATGGTAATTTGAATGTCAACATTTTAACTGCTTTATTCCTCATGTCAGGCCTTTTCTGTACAGTGATACCACTTTAATTATATTGATCTATTTTAAAGTGGTAAGGTCACCTTAGTGCGCACACAGTTATAGTCCCTTAGCTATGTCGACACCATACATCTAAGGCAGGGGTTCTCTCATCGCACCATGACCCCCTTCTGACAACAAAAAGTACTACATGACCCCAGGAAGGGGACAAAGCCTGAGCACCGCTGGCGTGGGTGGGTGGAGGGAGTTGGGGAAAGCCCGAGCCCCACCATCCTGGATGTGGGGGCCAAAGCTCAAGTGCTTCAGCCCCAGGCAGAGGGCCTGTAACCTGAGCCTTGCCACCGAGGGTCTGGCGCTGGTGGGGCTCAGGCTTCTGCCCCAGATCCCAGCAAGTCTAACGCTAATCCTGGTGACCCCCAGTTTGTGAACCACTTCTCTAAGGGCATGTCTACACTACAATTACACACCGGTGGCTGGGCCACACCAGCTGATGCAGCTGAAGGGGTTCTGGTGAAGGGGCTGTTTAATTGCAGTGAAGAGATTCCGGCTCCAGCCCCATCTCTGGGATCCTGCCACTTTGCAGGGCGCTAGAGTCTGGGCTCCAGCCTGAACATCTACACAGCCCTTAGCTAGAGCTCCTCGAGCCCAAGTTGACCGGCACATGACAGCTGCAGGGGTCTAACTGCAGTGTAGACATACCTGACCAGCACAGATATGTTGGTCGGGGGGGTGAAGAGGGCTGAGCTGTCTGAGGGGATCTGTACTACAGACGGTGCTGCAGAGCTGTGCCAGTGTAGCGCACCCACGTCCTCAGGTCCCCCTCCTGGCAGGGGAGCACGCAGGACTGTATACAACGCCTGCATGGCCGTGTCCCCTGAGCGGAGCAGGCCTAGGAAGGGCGTGTGGGGGGTCACGGCTGTGCCGCAGTCAGCGTGGCTCTTTCTGTCGCCACACAGCGCGTGTCATTGGGGGCATATCCCCACATGCACACGGCTCCCGGAGAGCCCAGCCCACCTCCCCTCAGCCGCAGCCGGGAGAGGGTCCCCGGCTAGGTGCGGCGGGGCCAGGTAGCTTGTGTTCGCGTGGAGGAGCACGGCCCAGGGGGGTTCCCGCGAGAGATAATAGCTAGGAGGAGGGGACACCGGCCGCCATTTTGAACCCAAAGCGCCCCCCCTCTTGCCGGGGTTGGGGGGGTAGAGAGCTCGCGAGAGCCCACACAGCTGGGAAGCGAAGGAACACGCGAGCGAAGCCGGCGCACGCGCAGTCTAGACACTAGGGGGTCGCGTAGCTGCTGCGCTGGGGAAAGGCAAAAGGAAGGGGCGGCGTTAGAGAGTGCAGCTATCGCGAGAACACGGAGGCTATATATGGGAGTGGGCGTGAAGAAAGCTTCCCCTCAGTGCGATTCCGTCCGGAGAGCGCAGCCGCTGGCCCCCCAAGGAGCAGGCCCGAGACCATGGAGGACAGTATGGACATGGAGAGCATGGGCCCCCTGCGCCCTCAGACCTTCCTCTTCGGTAACGCCCCGCGCCGGGGCCGCCCACGGTCGGGCCCGCCCCGCCTGGGGACCGCTATCTTCGCGGGCATGGCGCGGCCGCCTGGGCCTAGGCTGCTCGCGGGGTGGGGCGCGCGCGAGGACTGACTGGGTGGGGGCGCGCGATCGGGATCAGGGTTCGCGGGCGGGGGCTCGGGAGCGATGCTCTAGGAGCGGCAGCCCCCCGCCACCACGTGTCCGGCGCTCGCACGTGGCGTCTGTTGCGGCCTCCCGCTCCTGGCAGCGGCCGGCGCTTTGTTCCTTCTCCCCCGTTCCGCAGGCAGGAGCAGCCGCTTCTCGCCGCTCTGCCACCTGGCCACAGGAGCCGCTAGTTCCCACGGACGCGCTTTTCTCTCACCGGCGGGCCTGCAGCCGGTAAATGCCCTAGGCGCACATGGCAGCGTGGGGCGGCTGCGTCTCGGTGAAGCACGTGGAAGGGCCGCGCTCTGTGGAGCGAACAGGCGTGGGCGGAACCGGGCCCTGTTGGTGAACCCCGCAGGCCCATATTTAACACGCGA